GGGTTTTGGAAAAAAGTTTGCTTTTGTGGTATTGAATATTCCAATACAGTGAAGTGGTCATGTTCTTCAACTTCTGATCCTAAAGATGAGAACTTTACTTCTGAAAGTTTTAGGGTTTTGCTACAGAGAAATGATTTCTTCTCCAAGGATTCCAATCCACATCTCTGATTGTAAGTTCAGATTATTGTAGATTTGTTCTGTATAGATCATTCTTCAAAAGTTCATCAATACGACAATACCCACAAGTGTTTTGATAGATTTTGTTCAAAACATATTAAAATGTGATTACTCCCACAGAGTAATTATTGTTTAATCTTGTACCCTATTCTCTTATGCTCATCATCAATATCTGTGGGTCCTTGTTCTATCTCTTCAATGTTCCAGATGCTAATTCTCTTAAAGTCTCTGATAGAGACTCTGTCAAAAACTCTATCCAAGACCATTTGTAAGATCAACATTAATTGCTGATGTTCCCGATATGTTTTGATGAGTTGATATATCCATCTTCTATATATAGATTCAAGCATTTCTCAAGTGCTAGTTATGCTTATCAAGTCTTGATTTTGAAGAAGGATCTTGGATTGTTCATCTTTAATAGTTGATGTTTCAGAGTTGTAGCATGTTTCTGTATCATTGTTTGAGGCATGATTTGCATCTAAACTCAGCTGAAAGTTTGGCCATCGAATCTACTGCGCTTGAAAGCGAAACAGAGGACCCCGAGATTCTTGCAATAAAAGGGTTGCTTCAAGAATTGATCTACAGGACTGGCAATGCATTCCATTATTTGTTTGAAAATGTTTTCAAAAGAATATTATTGACTTCAGAGATTGGTTATGAGAAGTGAATTCGTTGAAAACTGGTCTCATTGTTAACTTATCAATGGGCCAACAATACTTAAAGTAACTACAAGAATTAGAAGAAGAACAAAAATTACAAGCTTTTTTGCTTTTGTTTACAAGTTCACATTTTTATGTTCATGTTTGTATATATATATATATCAATATTACATTAATGGTTTGGTCTCAAAACTATATTCATTTCTTGGGTTGGAATTTACCCTTAATCTTCTGAATCTCTTGTGGTCCAAGCTGGAACGCCTTGGCAAGCAAGTCATCAGGAATCGGCGGGTTAGCACCAAACAGAGCCGGTCCAACGACTTGAGTCCCTGGAAGCTGACTATCGAAAGCAGCGATGACGGAAGCAGTAGCTGTGTTAGGATTCTGCTGGAAATGGAGGAGAGCTTTAGGGAAGACGAAAACGTCTCCTTTGTTGAGGTGTTTGGAGATGAGTTTTCCTGAAGTGGTCACGAAACCGACGAATAGACGGCCTTCAAGGACAAAGATTGCTTCAGAGGCTCTAGGGTGGAAATGTGGCGGGTTGAGCCCACCTGGTGCGTAATCGATACGAGAGATTGAGACTCCCATCATGTTGAGGCCAGGGATTTTCTCAACGTTGGCTCCTGTAACAGCTGAGCCCATTGAGCTGTTGGTTGTGGCTGCAGCATTGGCTAAGCCTATGAAGTAGAAGTCCTCTGGTGTTACTTTTGCTGGGTCTTTGCAAGGATATCCATTGACTTTCACACCT